ATATGAAGTTGAAGAAGGAATGTGCCTGAGTTCCAGTCCTTGCAAAGGAGAGCCTGAGGAAAAGCTTACGTGTTAAAGGTTTTTGGGGAAAGGGATCCAAGGATATCAAAGGGAGAGGAAAGGGAGAGTGAGGAAGGGCAGGAAGAAAGAAAATCAAAGGTGCTGCATCATTACTAGGCTGGCCAGAGCTTCACAGGGAAACACTGACATTGTCCGGTCATGCACTACGTCAACACAGAGGCAGCCAGAGCCGATGCATGAGTCCAGCAGGGCAGGGGGGGATGAAAGGGAGGAACAAATCTGTCAATTCTCTGTCTCCATTCTCTCAGTGGTCAAGGTTTGTGTTTCTGAGTTATGTTACCCAGATATTCCAGGCAGTTTCTAGGGAAGTCTGGGCTCCGTGGACTCGGCCAGGTCAGCCCTGGGTGATGGAACTGCTGTGGCTCCTATGTGACAGTCAGAACCAATGGGGACTGTGCACCGGGGACTGGGGAAGCGGGGCTGTTGTGGCAGCAGCTCAGGAGGCTGGTGAAGCCTGGCAAATCCAGATGGGCAGTTATGCTGGTCTGGGAGGGGATGTGACTTTAATAATTAACCGTTTATCCTGGCTTCACATAACCGATAATCCTTTTACCACCAACTTAAATTTCAACTTTACTGTATTCTAACTTCTTAATTATACTAGGGTTTATTTCTAGTTCTATCTCTGTCTATGAATGCATAAATAGGTACTTGCAATAATTTTTAGCTCCTTGGTAGTACAAATTCCCTCTTATTTTTTTCTTGGCTCTTAAGAGAATAGGCTTGAGTATGTAGGTAAAGCCATAATAATTTTAACTAGTTTCATAAAACAATTGGGGATTTGTATATAAGCTACATTAAATGAAGATGTATGTTTGGGGACTATCAATATTTTTATACTGCTATATTTTATCATTCATGAATACAGCAGCAGTGTCAGCTTATTTAAGTTTTTTTTATGTCCCTCAGTAAAATTTTCCAATTGTTTTTCATGTAGCTCCTGCAGAACTTTTATTAAATTTATTCCTAGGTATTTTAAATTATGTTATCCTGGTGGACAACATTTTTTTTATTATGTTTCTTAATTGATAATTTCTGGCATGTAGTAAACTTTTTATATATTAATTTTGTAACTGATCATCTTTCTAAACTCCCTAACTAGTTCAAATTACTTTTCAGTTTATTCTCCTGGGTTTTCTGGGCAGACAATGATATTGTCCATAAATAATGACAGTTTTTCTTTCTTGTCTAATTATATTTCTTATTTCTCCTTTCTGCCCTTTTTCACTGGCTGGAGCTTCAGAATAATGTAAAGTGAATAATTATGATGTCATCTTTATCTTGTTCTTACCTTTAATAAGAATGTTCCTATTTTATTTTTAAATATTATCTTGGCTGCTAGTTTCAGAGAAAAATTTTGAATCATATTGAGGCAGTACATTTCCATTACTAGATTACAAAGATGTTTTTAAATTGATGATTGATGTTTAATTTATATCTTTTCGTCTTGATTAGACTAACCAGAACATTGTCTGTTTTACTGGGGAAAGGGAGCTGAAGCATTTGATCCAATGTTCTTTTTAATTGGACTTTGGCCTTCCACTTAGGACTCAGCTACTTCTTTAGGAAAGGACCCTCAGCCCTGACCTGCTCCACGGGGCATAAAAACCCGCTGCTTTAGGTCAGACTGGCCATCTACCATCTGACGTTGTGCTTATGGCTCAATTGTTAAGCCCTCACTCAACTGTTTAAATTGTATCACCTCAAAGTTAGTCTGCAAACCTATCTTGCTATCAGCATAGCAATATAATCTATTTAGGCCTAGAGTATTTTTTATTTGTTTGTTTGTTTGTTTGTTAGGGGGACACCATAACAATGATTTTTATCCCTGATCCACTCTAGTTGTTTCTCTCATCTTTGACCTGTGGACACTACATATCCTGATGCTTATAGTTTTTATTTTGATATGAACACTTTGTGGATTTTCATACTTCATTAAAATAGAATATGGTTTCTGTTCCATAATTTATTTAGCCAATTTCATGTACTTGGGGAAATTTCTATCCCTTTTCTGATAGTCAGAACATGTTTTCCCTCAAGGAAGTTAGGAGGTCCAAGGGAGTCCCTGGGACCCTTCCCATTCACTAGTATGCTGATACCTGGTCAGGCCCCCTGCCAATTCCCTAAGTTGTGATTTTACCCCTTTCCCAATTTTCTTATTCCTTTCTACCCATCAAACCCCCTCTTATAGCAAACGAGGTTGCCTCTTTCTATACTAAGAAAATCAAGGTTAACAGGTGGGAATTACCACCCTTGAATCTGTGACTGATTCTGGAGTCCTCTCTACCTCCTCCCCAGCCTCCTCCCTACCCTCCAGTTTCATGGACACACCGTCTGCCCTCCGGTATGCGATCAGCCCGTGTTTATTCTTCATCCAAATCCATCATGTCACTTGAGATTAAGCATCTAACCCCGATGTGTTTCCCACCTCTCCCACTTTGTTAATTTATAAACCGAATTCCTTTACGTCTTCTCTGTAGGTTCGGATCTCTCTAGCTTCTTACTATTTCATTTCTCCTTCCCCTTCAGAAACGTGGAAACCCAGCAGCTTCCCTCTCTTGTTCTTCTTCCCCTGCCTGTTTCTTAAATGCTGACACCCTCCCTCTGCCCTAGGGTTTTATTTTTAGTACTACTTTTATTTCACAATACATCGAATGAGATTGCCCTTAGGTAATCTCTTTCACTCCCTGAACTTGGGCTGGTCTACATGCTACTGACACCGATCTTGTCATGTCTGTTTCACACCTCATTCCTTAACTGCATACCTCCTACACCATCCCAAATATTCCACAAGCACCTCCAGACAATACGTACAAAACTGCACTCATCAAATCTCCTTCTCCAAATATGTTCCTTCTATTGTTTTTTATTGTCAAAAGTGGCATATCTGTCTTCTCACATCACTCAAGCCAAACAGGCACCTGAACCCCAGCCCCAACCCCCACTTGCAGTCGGTGCCTATACTTTTTTCTTTTTAAGTTCTTCTGTGTCATTCCTCCTCGTCTGTGTGTCCTGCTGCAACTTGAGCCTCATCAGTTCTCTTTGAAATCCTTAGCATGGCTTCTCTGCTCTAAATGTTTTTGTTTTTCCAGGAATCAAGCTTTCTCTGCTCTCCAGCTTTCCTACATTCTTCCCACCATTCTCTCTCCGTCAAACACTCGTCTGCTCTGATCTTAACCTTGTCAAACATTCTTGCCTACAATCATCAACTGAGATCTTCTTTAACAACAATAAAAAGAGTGGTTCTATTTAAACACTTTTGTGCTTAAAGCCCTCTAACAGACCTCCATGGCCTTTAAGATAAAGTTCAAACTCCTTAGTGGGACATACAGATACTCTTCTGTAGATGTTTTTACTCACTGACCTTCTGCCCACTCCGTACTTTCTTATCTCAAATTTACAACAAGTTTATCATATCTCTGTCATTCACAATGCTATTCCATGCCTCCGTGATCCATATCTTTGCTAAACTTTCTTTGCCATGTGCAATGCTTCCAAACAACATTTATTTATCTCTTGTAAATGACCTCAAAAATCATCTGCATCTTTTTTGTGCCACCATCCACCACTTAGAACTTAGCATTTTTCTTTTTTGCACTCCTGGGTAGATTTCTATCACAGCCTCTTCAATAGACACACTTGTTTTCAAGTCTAGTTTCCTCCCTGCTATAATACATAAACTTGTTATAGTCTTTCCCTTGTTTCTTTATCCAAACACCAGTATTTTATGCAGAAACAATTTTTAAGCACTATGCTAATCATTACGAATAATATAGACTATTTGCTCCAAGGAGCACACATAGAGAAATGCAGAGACACACACATATATTCACCATCTATTTATCTCTGGGACACAGAGAAAGAACATCTAATTCAGTTAGAATTGCCAGCACCTCATACTGAGCCTGACAAATGTTCTCAGTATAGCTTACTGAGCACATGATAGTTTATTAGGAAGAAGAAAAAGAATGAGCAGCCAGCTCATGAAATGACCCAAAGGAAGTTCCCACTGACTCAGTCCATTTTCCCTCTAATCTGTACCTTCAAATTCACTCAATTTTTCATCTGGACCATCCTTCTGGGATTATGAGGGACTCAAGGCAATTGCCAAAGAGGAGAATAACTAATCCATGTTCTGCCAGGAAGTTTATGGAGTTTCCTGCCAGCCTCTGCCTCAGCCTAGGATTCAAGTCCCTCGCTTGAAATTGTGGCCAGGAGATGTGCGCCAAGAAATGACTAATTAAGCCATGGCCTTTGACCTCATGGTGAAATCCAGTGTGGTAACTATATCCCTTTTCTCTCCTGCTCAAAATGTGTCACCCATCAAAACCCAATGGAATCAAGGTGATCCCCGACCTCCTCTCGTACACGAGCACCTGTGGAATTTACATCAGAGAGATCTGTGTTTGAATTTCAACTTCACCACTTAACAAGGTATGATACTGACACAGTCTCAACCAGTGTGTGCTCTAAATGCTTCATCCATAAAATGAGAATAACAACTTTCTTAAAGTGCTCCACTCAGAAAAATGTGATCTAAAATGCCTCACTTCATATCTAATACACAATAATTATAAGCTCCCTTTAATTGATGGTTTACTCTGTGCTAAAAGAAGAATGGGTTCCTGTTCCTGGGTTTATTTTTTGGGTTTTCCTCTATTTCATTTTCCTTTAGTAATGCCTACCACCTCTTCTACCTCTTCTTTGCTTAGCACTTATCTTCTCTTCAAGAGACATTTACTAAACAGTCAATTTTTTAATGTGGTCGTAAATACCCACCATCACTTGCAGTCCTTTATGATGTTACTGAACAGCCTATGAGAAGGGGATTGGTCCCTCTAGCTGGCCCGGAGCTGGCATATGGCTACACTCGTTCCTGATGCTCTAAGTCCTGACCTCAGCACCACATACGGACTTACCTGGGTGAATCCACATGCTTCCATTGTAATTCAACTCAGTCTTCACTACGCCTCTTTTCTCGTCACCACCAATGGCCCTGGTTAGTTCAGATCGATCCCCAGCATTGAGAAAGGGGGGACTGAGACGGTTTCTTCTCACAGCCCCTTATTAAAAATCATCACACCTCACTTTGTAAGAGGAGGCAAAGAGCAAAGACAGAAAAGTGAAGAAGGGAGAAAATAAAAATAAAAAATTAGGAGTGACATCATCAAGATGGCAACCTAGATCGTTCCCAACTTCAGTCCCCCTGATCAGGCCAAGCAACAATGATCACAGACCAGGCACCATTATGAAACTCCCAGAACCTGGGGGTGAGGCTGAGGCATCCCCCTGTTATTGGGTGTTGGATACCCAATATAAAAGAGATGTAAAGCATAACATAAATTACCTAAAATGTGAGGGGAGAACTAAAAGCATAGTTTCTATAAACTATCAAAGGTAAGTTGTTATCACCTTATATTACTGGGTTGTAACTAAAATATTGTATGTAAGTCTCACGGTAACCCCAAAGGGGAAACCTGTAGTAGATGCACAAAAGATGATGATAAAGGAGCCAAAGCACAACACCACAGGGCATTCGCCCATCAAGGAAGACAGCAGAGAAGAAGCGAGGAACAGAGAGCTAGAAAACGGTCAGAAAACAACTAGCAAAATGGCAGTAGTAAGTCCTTCCTTATCAATCATTGCTTTAATGTAAATGGATTAAATTATTCAGTCAAAAGACAAAATGGCTGAATGGATTTTTAAAAAGAAAACAAGATCCAACAGTAGTCTGCTGCATACAAGAAACTCAATTTAGCATGAAGGGATGGGAAAAGATATTTTAAGCAAATGGTAACTAAAAGAAAGTAGAGGTGACTATACTTGTATCAGATAAAACAGACTTTAAGCTAAAAATGGTTACAAGAGACAAAGATGTTCATTATATAGTGATGAAGGGACCAATTCATCAAGAAAATATAACAATTATTAATATTTATGCACCCAACATTGGAGCACCTGAATGTATAAAGCAAATACTAAGAACACAAAGAAGAAATAAACAGCAACACAATAACTGGGGACTTTAATACCTCACTCTCCACAATGGGTAGATCATCCAGATAGAAAATCCTTGAGCAAACAACAGATTTAAACACTATAGACCAAATGGACCTAACAGAAATACACCGCACATTGCCTCTACAAGCAGAGCAGGAGAATGCACATTCTTCTCAAGTGCACACAACATTTTCTAGGGCATATCATGGTAGGCCACAAAGCAAGTCTCAACAAATTCAAGAAGAATTATATCAAGTATCTTTCCAACCACAATGGTATGAAACTAGAGATCAACAATAGGAGGAAAGCTGGACAACTCAGAAATGCATGGTGATTAAACAACACACTCTTGAAAAATATCTTGAGACGAGCAAAAATGGAAACATGACATGCCAAAGCTTACAGGGTGCAGTCAAAGCAGTTCTAAGAGAAGAGTTTATAGTTATAATTGCACACATTAAGAAAAAAGAAAGATCCCAAATAAACAAAGTAACATTATAAGGAAATAGAAAAAGAAGAACAAAGTAAGTCCAAAGTTAGCAGAAGGAATGAAATTATTGCAGAAAAAAATGAAATAGGGAGTAGAAAAATAATATAAAAGATTAACAAAACTAAGAGTTCTTTAAAAAGGTCAACAATAGATCAATTTTAGACTAAACAAGAGAGGATTCAAATAAAAGTACAAATGAAAGAGGAGATATTACAACTGATACCACAGATACACAAAGGATCATAAGAGATTGCTATGAACAATTATATACCAAAAATTGGATAAGCTTAGAAGAAATAGATAAATTTCTAGAAACATACAACCTACTATGACTGAATCATAACAAAACAGATAATCTGAACACCTAATAATGTGTAAGATTGAATCAGTAAACAAAAACCTCAAAAGAAAATCCCAGGACCAGATGATCTCACTAGTGAATCCTACCAAACATTTAAAGAATTAACACAAATCCTCCTCAAACTCCCAAAAACATTGAAGAGGAGGGGAACACTCCCAAACTCATTCTATAATACTAACTAGCATTACCTAAATATAAAAGCCACATAAAGACACTTCAAGAAATAAATTACAGGCCAATATCCCTGATGAATATAGACATAAAGATTCTCAAAAAAAATTACTAACAAGCTGAATTCAACAGCATATTAAAAGGATCACACACCATGAGCAAGTGGGATTCATCCCTGGGGTGCAGTTTTTGATGATTCAGTATATACAAATCACTAAATGTGATATATCACATTAATAGAATGAAAGATAGAAATCATATGATCATCTCAATAGATGGGAAAAAGTATTTTAAAAGATCAAATATCCTTTTGTGATAAAAACTCTCAACATATTGGTTATAGAAGAAACAAATCTCAACATAATAAAGGCCATATATGACAAGTCCATAACTAGCATAATTGTCAATGGTGAAAGATGAAAGCTTTTCCTCTAAGATTAAGAACAAGACAAATGTGTCCACTCTCATCATTTCTATTCAGCATAACAATGGAAGTCCTAGACAGAACAATCGGGCAAGAAAAAGAAATAAAAAGCATCCCTATCATAAAGGAAGAAGTAAAATGGTCTCTGTTTGGAAATGACATGAACTATATATAGAAAACTATAAAACTCTTTTTTTCCTAAGTATTAAAGCAGAAATTTATTAAAATCTATTTATATAGTGTTTTACAGATAAAAAAAATGTACAGGGTCCTTAACATTCAGGCAACCAACTCTATTCTCAGTACTTTGAGAGAAGACAGATTTCTTTGCCCTCCCCTGATAAAGATACTTCTGTTTATGTTCCCAAAAAGATTGCATTTATTACACCATATCTCACAAGAATGATCTCACTGATAACCCAAAATCTCTGCAGAGAATGAAGAGATATTAGCAAAGAATCTCCTCCAGAAGGTACTATCTCATTACAGAAGTGTAATGCAAGGAGTACATAAAATAATGGCTGCATCAGATGATTGTCTGTACTCGTGACAGGTGGGCCATGAGAAGAACATGTGGGCTCAACTGGGCAACTGGAAAACTAGATATTCACAAATAAAAGAATAGATAAGATCTCTATCTTAAACTACTCACAGAAATTAAGATGAAATGGATTAAGAACTGAATATAAGACTTGAAACCATAAGAGTTCTAGAAGAAAACATAGGGAATAAGCTCCCTGACATTGGTCTTGGCAATTATTTTTTGGATTTGATGCCAAAAGCATGAACAACAAAAGCAAAAATAAACAATAGGGACGACATCAATTAAAAAGTTTCTGGACAGCAAAAGACATGATATTAAAAATGAAATGGAATGGGAGAAAACATTTGCAAACCAGATATGTGATAAAGGTGATAAGGGGTTAATGTTTCCAAAAATACATAAGGAACTCATACAACTCACAGCAAAAACAAACAAAACCAAATAGTCCAGTTAAAATTGGGCAAGGGACCTGAATAGGTATTTTCCCAAAGAAGATATACACATGGCCAGCAGGTACACAAAAAAGTCTATCACTTTTATCACATCACTAATCATCAGGGAAATGCAAATCAAAAAAAAAAAAGCAGTGCATTATCACTACACACCTGTTAGAAAAGCTCTTCTCCAAAAGACCAGAGAAAACAAGTGCTGGTGAGGATGTGGAGAAATGGTAATCCTCATACACTGTCGGTGGAACTATAAATTGGTACAGCTGCTATGGAAAAGAGTATGGAGGCTTCTCAAAAAAATGAAAAATAAACTACCATATGATTTATCAACTCTACTTATTTCTACTTATTCAGAATAGCCAAGACATGAACACAACCTATGTGTTTGTTGACAGATGAAAAGATAAAGAAAATGTAAGATATATATAACTGAAGATTACTCAACTATAAAAAAGAAGGAAATCGGGGGGGGGGGCGGAGCCAGGATGGCGGTGTGAGTAGAGCAGTGGAAATCTCCTCCCAAAAACACACAGATGTATGAAAATATAACAAAGAAAACTCTTCCTAAAATAGAGACCAGAGGACACAGGACAACATCCAGACCACATCCACACCTGCAAGAACCTAGCACCTTGCGAAGGGGGTAAGATACAAGCCCCGGCTCGGCGGGACCCGAGCGCCCCTCTCCCTGGCTCCCGGCGGGTGGACAGAAACCGGAGCGGTTTTTTTTTTTGGCGAGTGCTTTTTGGAAGCCTTAAAGGGACAGGGACCCCGGTGCTAGGGAGGCAGGGT